TTTTTAACTACTAATTTGATTTCTTGTTAATAGATCTATTTAGATTTCTATTTTCTTATTTCTAGTTCTTCGCTACCGGTAATTTGTGTCTTTCTTAGAAAAGTGTCCACAACATCTAAGTCATCAAATCTGTTGGCACAAAGTTGCTTATAGTAATCCCTTATAATAGTTTTAACTTCTGAAAGGTTAGCAATGATTATCCTTTCATTCCAGATTTGGTAGTTTATACCCCCTTTTTTTCTTAGTATAGCTAAATGTCAATTTTGTTGATCTTTTCAAGAAACTTTTTATTTCCTTAATTTTCTCTGGCTTTTTTCTGGTTATTTCATCAATTTCTTTTAAAATCTTTTTAATTCTTTTTAATTTCCTTAGGGTTAAATTTTTCTAGTTTTTTGGGGGTTTTTTTAAATGAAGTAAGGTACTAATTTGAGATCCTTCTTTTCTAACTTAGTTTTTTAAAGCTATAAATTTCTAAGTACTGCTTTACCTATATTCCATAAATTTTAATACGTATTTTGTTTTCATACAGTTCAAAATATTGTCTAATTTCCATTGTGATTTCTTCTTAGATTCATGAGTTACTTATAAGTGTATATTTAATTACCAAGTATTTGGGAATTTCCCCAATTTTTTCTTTATAATGATTTCTAATTTAATTCTGTTGTGGCTAGGGCATATAGTTTGTATGACTTGTTTTGTGTATTTTGGATCTCTGTTAGGTGGATATACATTTTCAATTATTATATATTTCTGAAATATTGATCCTTTTATCATTATAAAGCATCTATCTTTGTCCCTAGTGGTATTCTTAGCTTAAAGTCTATTTTTTTTATTACTATTACCACACCAGCTCTCTTATGGTTACCGTTTGCATGGTGTATCTTTTTCTGTTCTATTACTTTCAATATATGTATATCCTTGAATCTAAAGATAGCATGTAGTCGGATTTTGCTTTTACTAGAACATTTTACCAGTTCACATTTAATGTAATTATTTAATAGGAATAATTAAACTAAACAATAGAATATAATAGAGAACCCAAAATTAAAAAAAAAAAAAAAAGAATGGAGAACCCAGAAACAGACCTTATGCACATATGGAAACAATGTATGACTAAGGTGGCATTGCTAATGACCTGGGGGAGGAAGTAATACTGAATAATTAGTGTTGGGACAACTAGATAGCTACATTTTTAATTTTATTTATTTTTTCTTATTCTGAACATTTACTTCCCCCATACCTCGTCCCTGGAGCTGAATGCCAGGAAACAGCACTATGGAGAAGATGATGGCTTTGCCTTCATGAAATAGCTGTTGGAACTGCTTGGGGATGTGCTCAGGGGACTGGGAAGCTGCTGAGTGGGCAGCAGGAGGGTAGCCAGCCGGCCGCCGCCAGACCAACAGCTTCCGGAGCAGGTGCCCAGGTTGCTGCTCAAGTCCTTCAAATGCGTCGGGTCAGGGCATGCACCTCCTGCAGGCACTCCTCATAGGCTTCCTGGTACTCCTCGTGCAGCCTGACCATTATCACGCAGGTGGGGCGCTTGGATCCTGCGGCTGCACCCAGGTCTGTCTTTGAAAGGATATAAATGTAGGGCAGATTCCAGTCCTCACACAGATATGGGAGATGGCAGTGTACCTCAATGGGCAACGTGTCTCCTGCCAAAACCATGATGTCTTTCTCGCCTTTGTTGACAAATTTCTGAACCTCCTTCAGCCCGCGCCAAATCTGCTGCTGCTTGACGGCTTTCTTGATGCATTTGTAGAGCTTCCGTGTGAGGCAGCTAGAAGCCAGGGGCTGTGCGATGGGGTTCAGGTTCACCAGCAACTGGTGGTAAGTATGCTCCCCGAAGGATGCCTCCGCCTGAGCCTCTTGCCCAACTGGATCTCCCTTTATTTTGGTCATCGCAGCGGCCACGGCTACCAACTCCCCAGTAAGCGATGTGTTAGCTACATTTTTAGTATGTGTGCTGCCAAAGGGAGCACTAGATAGACATATTTTTAAAAAATGAAATTGGTACCCTACTTCAGACTCTATACAAAAATTGAGATGGATTAAAGACTTAAATTTGAGACGCTAAACCAAAACGTTAGAAGACAATGGAAGAGAATGAGACTTTGAGGTAGGGAAGGAGTTCTTAAATAAGAAACGAAAAGCACTAACCATAAATGAAAAGTGATAAATTTGACACTATTGAAAATTTAAACTTGTGTTTATCAAATATTACCATAAAGAAAGGGGAAAGACAAGTCCAAACTGGGAGAAAAAACACATAGCTGGTAAAGATTAATATCCAGAACATATAAAGAAATCTTACAAATGAATGATAAGAAAAAAAGTGTGCGAAAGACATAAGCAGCATTTCACAGAAATGGAAACATGGCTTAAGGGTGTTCAGTCTCAAGATCAGGAAAGTGCCTATTTAAACCACAGTGAAATTCCATTTTATAGTACTAGGTTTATAGTAATTAATTCTTACCTTTTTCCTCACCCATCTCAGACATGTATACCTTAAACTTTAGTGCACTGAACTTTTTGAAATTCTCTTATTACATAATTTTCTTTTATTATCTGGGTGCCAATGTACAATGCTTTGTTGTGTTGTTATTGTTGCTTAGAATGCTCTTCCTTGTCCTAGTGCAGTGGTTCTCCAAGTGTGGTTCCCAGGCCAGCATCAATAGCATCATTAATGTACTTGTTAGTAATGCAAATATCCTGGCCCACTCCTAAACTATCTTTTCAAGGATGTTTGTATAGTGAAAACTTCGTAAATCAGAAGTAGAATTTCCCTCTAGAGCAGAGGGTAGGTTTGCTTGCAATCCATTATAAAAGGTTGGGGTTTCCTGTGCTCAGGATTTCTTTCCTCTGATACAACCAACTGTATGTGTTGTTATCTGGCTTTTTCCCAATACCCTATGGGAATTGAACTTGGGCACCTTCCACAAGAAAATGATGATACTCCTTTTGCTGTGAGTAAAAAACTGTCCTTTCTCTAATCCAAGAGTCTTATGTTTTTTGCTGTATCCATGAAACTTTGGCAGGCTAACTATTTACCTTGCCAAGTAGGAGAGCTAGGCTAACTTGTAAGCAGACCTATCACAGTTCTTGACACAAATCTTTTTTCTTTAAGTTAGTGCTCTGAAATGGGAACCATTGCTTTTAATAATTGTTAATAGGAAGCTTAGTATTGAATAAGCTTACTTTACAATACAGATACTTTTTCAGTGTCAAATTTTGACTTTCAAATATGTAGAATGTCTCCATTATTCTAGTTTTATTTAATTTACTCATTTATCAAACATTTCTATGTGTTCGTTTTGCTCTTATTTTTCTCAGTGTGGCAGCATTAGAAGCTGAGTTGATCCAAAGACACACAGATGGCTGAAAGTGCTGGAAAAGAAAATATAAAATGGACAACCACCATTATTATTAGCTCATCTCTTAAGGTAAAGAGGCATTTGGGCCATTAATCTTTAATTTAAAAATCAAAAGGAATAGAACACTATTTTTAAAGATCCTTAGCTTGATCATCCAAAGTTGTGTGGATCAGCAATTACATAAGCTAAATGTATTTTAAAGGTAAGTTATAAACTTTACTGCATCCATTTTATTTTCTTTTTTTATTTCTTAAGCTGAGCCATTCTGCTACCTGTTGGCAGCTCAGCAGCTGCTCAGCTGGGGCTGGTCTCGAACCGCTGTTGCTCAGAGCTCAAACTCTTGAGCGAGCTCTTAACCAACTGAGCCACTCGGCCGGCCCCTACTGCATCCATTTTCAACATCCTACTTCTTTCTCTAAATATTTGCAGGTTGGAAAATTTCTAGAGTCCTTTCTTCCTCTCTAAGCCTTTTCTAATGCAGATGTTAAGGAATTCAAGAAACAGTATCGCATATGCACATAAATATTACTTAAGGTTTTTTGAGAGAAAAACAGAAACTGATCTGTCTAGTCTTAGTAGCATAGGGAAGAGCAGTCAGTTTAATTGTCATTTCCTTGACTTACCTATCTATCTTTCCTCTAACTGCTTTTCCAATTTTGGCACTCTGTGGTTTCAAGTATGAACTTTTTATCTTTTTTTTTTTAAAGATTTTTTTTATTGGGGAATTGGGGGATGGGAACAGCACTGGGGAATTGGGGGAAGGGGAACAGACAAATTGCTGTCATTTTGTTCTTCACTCTAGTTGTGGAGGACGTTACTTCACTGTCCCAAGTTGGCACCATCATTGCGCTCTTCCCAGGCGAGGCAGATCAGTTGCCGGCTTCTGGACTGCTGCTCACTGTGGCTGCTGCCCACTCACACTGGCTGCTGGCTATACATGGTAGCTCATGGCAGCCCACTGCAGCAGGGGCTGCAGCCTATGCAGTCGCTGGCGACTCATGGCAGCCCAGCTCCAGGTTGAGCTGTTGTTCAGCATCTTAGCTGTAGAGGGCAGTGTCACTGGCCCTCAT